GAAGCGTCACTCGAGAAGATATAAAAGTGCCGAGTATGAGATACAAGCGCATGCGTTATAAACTGTTCAAAGGTTTTCCGAATTTTTTTATTAGAAAAAGACTCACTGCATCTTTAGCGGGTGTGACCGGTCGAGATTGATATGCTTCGATATATGTATCTCCTTTCCTCGTGTCTCTTCCACCGTGCGCGCTCGTCCTCCGCTCTTTCCGTCGCAAGGAATAAAGATGTCAAAGAAGAGAAAAAAAGAAAAGATGATGCCGTGAAGGATAAAAGAAAGTACCCGGGGAGCCCCGTATCTGTCACCGGGCAGACAAGAACTGAGCGGAATATAATCTAACGGCATGCACGAAACGTCGAGCCGAGTCGGAGGAATCCGGAGGACCTCGCTCGAAGGTGGTCAGGATTTTCCCCTTCCTTCCCTCCCCACCCATGAGTCCCTGCAGGTCCACCGGTGGGGACTCTCCTGTCGGCGGCGGACAATTATCCCCACTCTTATTATTTTTAACGCGTCTCTTACTCCCCTCCCTACTTATCGGAGATACATCGCGTCGGCGATCGCATTTCTCTCGCACTGCGCTCCAACATCGTCTTCCCCGACCGCGCCTGTCACGAGGGCATCCCCCACCAACGTGATCGACCACTCGAGACGCCCCCACTATCTGAAGGTTCTCCGTCGATTACGCCTCGTTTAGCGAACGAACGTTCGCTTTTGTCCTGCCCGGAGGGACCGCCGTCGCGACGCCACGCACGTGCAGACACGACGGACTTTCTCTCGTCTATTGAAAAAAAATTCTTTAATATGAGTCATGAAACTTTTTCTTTTTTTCGAACCATACTGAATTGTTCTTTTATTTGTATATCGCCCAATCTCTCTTTTTATTGCATATAATTTAAATAATAAACATATTAACATAATAATATTGACATAACAATTTTGTAATTCGTTTTTTTCTCCTGTATAATAGACAGAACCGACGTCCGAATTAATAAATTTATAAAGTAAGATTAAACTTTAAATATGATCCTGATAATTTCGATATGATAATCAGATATTAGTTATATGTTGAATATATAATAATATATACAGGGTGTCGGTCCATAAATGTCAGAGCAAATATCTCACAATTGATTGAAGTTACAAGAAAATTTAATAAGAGAATTTTTAGTCCGCAATAAAGCGGACGTGAAAAAATATTTTTTACTCGTAATCTTTTCAAATTATGAAAATTACCATCGTTTTTTTAAGTGGAACCTCGTATTTTTCATTGCATATTCTTATAGCCCTTCTTCAGACCTTTTCAAAACACTAGATAAAAGTATTTTTTCATTAATATATATGTATTTTATATCAAAATATGCCAAATTAAGATATAAAAAAATTACTTAATGAAAAAATACTTTATTATAGTGTTTTAAAAAGATTTCAAGAAGGGCTGTAAGATTATGCAATAAAAAATAAGTAAGCTTCATAACTTGAAAAGGTTACGAGTAAAAAATATTTTTTTACATGCGCTTTATTGCGGACTAAAAACTATGCTAATTTCTCTTATTAAACTTTCTTGTATCTTCAATCAGTCATGAGATATTTGCTCGGACATTTATGGACGGATACCCTGTATATAGTTGGATATATACAGAATCTTAGAATAAAATCGAATATGAATTATCCCGAATGACAAGCAATCGCTTGTTTCAATCGCTTCGTTTCAAGTGGAATCTACCACGTGCCACTTCCGCCGGCATGCTCACATCGAAAGACGACCGCACGTGGACATAGGCGAAGAAAAACAAATGCTGGAATCACCTTCAGATGTAGAGACAGCTGTGTATATTGCACGCGTGTCTCGTGATACTGGGATCGTGTATTTGTAATTGTTTTAAACGAGAAATTGCAATGCAGTTATACGATTGAAATGGCTTTTTCATTAACCGATATTAATTTCAATACTCTTTTGAAAGAAAAGACGAAAAATTATTATACATCACAATTAAAATGATCTGGATATGAAAAAATAATATGTCAAGAAGTATACACCGAGAAAAAAATTCAAAACAAAATAAATAGATTAAATAGATTGTATAATATGACCTTGTTCTAGTACAAAGGATTTCATCCTATGTGATTCGTAGAACCCGGTGTGGACGTATTTATGAACTGTAAACTCTCAAATAATCTACACACAACAAACTTCGCGCCACTATTAATGATTCGTTAGTTCTCGAATTTCTTTCTTCGTATTATAACTGCATAAATTATATTTCAAACTGAGATTTTAAAAACTGATATTTCTTTTGTTTGTATGGCTTTAATTTAATAAATTGAAACATAATTATAAAACTCATAAGGCTACCCATAAGATTTTAAGACATTCCAGAATCTCTCTGTAACTGATGAGAGAGAAAGAGAGAGCTCAAACTGTTGTTTTTATTTTACTATAAATATTTATTATCTATAATTGATTGATTCTATTAATATAAATTATTGCATTGTGTAGGGGGTAGTTTAAGTAATCCTCATACTAAATTGTACGGCTGTGACTAGCGTTGTTACATTATAAATGATAAATTATTACGATAACCAAGAGATTGATGCCCAATAATAACGAATATAATAACTTTTATTCGATGAATGTAAGTTTGAAATAAATTTACATAATGTATGTACGATTGCGTAATAGGGACAATTAATTTCTCTGCACTGGCGTAATCTTCTCACATCGGTCACAAAAACAACGTCAAAAAGAAGCGGATCGCGCGCGATCTGCACTCGAACTTTCGATATCAAATTTGGAAGGTCGTGGCCCGTGACACGTGTACAGTGCGTGAGTGAATCGACAAACGCGAAACTCTTAAACGTAGTTCTCTCTCTCTCCCTCTCCCTCCCTCTTTTTCTGTCTCTCTCTCTCTCTCTCTCTCTCTCTCTCTCCCACTCCTCTTTCTGTCTCTCTCTTTCGTTTTATCTTTCTCCGTCTCGATTACATTGGCAGCGATGAAAGTGAGCGCGGTCAGCCGACCGATCTCTTTTCGTAGAATTGCGGAGTGGCAGTCGATGGAAATCTATCAGTCAATCGCATTGATCGGTCAATAAATCCTTATCGGATGCAGATTCAGCACATCAGATAAGACTGGCTATACTGTGATCGCGGAGAAATAAATTGAGGAATTGCGATAATATAATATAACCGCTATGTATCGGGAGTTATCGCGATCGCCGTATATTAATTATATCGATATCTTGCGTGGAATTAATTTTTTTTTTTTTATTTTCCGCGAATTAATATTGAAAAATCGCAAATTTTTTTATTTGCCAAAGGTACGTTTCTTCCCTTGAACATGCCCATTTATACTATGTGCAATAAAGATAAATCCAGCGGTCATTGTGTGTGCGAATGCGCGTCGATCAAGTGAATCAACATGGAACCTTGGATTCCATGACGCACGATGCCTTCGACGATATTCTTGCAATCCGTCTCGTTCCCTTCCCGGAATCGGAGGATGGCAAACAATGCGATCCGTGGATCACTTCGATCGGTGAACGAACCCTCATCGTCGGCAAACAGGGCACCAAGAGAAAAGCGCGAAATCCGGACACAAAATCATGCCCCATCAATATATCTTCGCGCATTTCTCTCATTATTTAAAAAAAAAAAAAAAATTTTTTTAATTTCAATATTGTGTAATTGTATCAATTATTGTTATCAAAAATATTTTTTAAAAATAACGTTAAGATATAGATTATAGTCAAACCGAAAAATTATAATTCCGAGCAATGTGTGCATTAAAATTTTTAAGAAATAGATTAATATAAAAAAATTATATTTCTTGTTGTCTCTCAAACATCGCAAATAAAGCAACAAGATAAAAATTTTAAAAAAAAAAAAAAAAAAAAAAAAAAAAAAAAAAAAAAAAAAAATTCCTGTCAGTGAGGATATAAATAAAAGCAAGAAGAGAAAAATAAAAATATTACAACAAACTAATCGACGATGAACGATCGAAACAGACTGCATTGGAGCGGATCGCGGTGGAATAGAGAATAGAGTGTCGAAGAAGTCCACACACACATACATACACCTTAGGTCCTCGAGTATACCTAAATTCTCGAAGGCTCGTGCCCGAGATGAATCAACAAACACGACGGCGAGAGTGGGGACAACCTTCGCTTTCACATAGCTGTTAGCATAGGGCTGGGCGAACGTCATAATCCTCCACCGACGGTCTCTCTTTGTTTCGGCCTTGTATCGCCTACGCACACAGCCCTCCGCGAAGCGAAACAGCCCTTAAGCCCGCGAGTAAATATTTTTGCGCGCGCGCGATAAAGGTCGCGTACATTTGTACGCAACGGCTTTAGCACGTTTCATCATACCGCCACTTGAAAGAAAATTATTTTTTTGTGGTTGAAATTTAAATCGCGCCTGTGGATAAATCAACCAGTCATCCCCAGATTAATTATTATAGAAATTAATTATACGTTATATACGAAAGTGCCGAGATAATTTCCATTTATCTGACTGCAAGAAGCGAGTATTGTAATTTTGCAGTTTCTAATTGAGATCTTATTTTATACACGAGATAGACGTGACACATACATCAGATTATATCCGTCTCGTAGACGGCGGCTCAATCAATTCCCGGTAAATCGTGAATTTCGAGCGAAACTATTTTCCGGTGAAATAACCGCAGATCTCGTAGAAAAATATCGCGACGATGTCAACGAACGATGCAATGCACAATAATACAATTTGATTATCAATCTGCTCTCGTCTTAAAATAGCAATATCGCATCTCCTCGAAGAACTTCGCGTTTAGCACTGTCTCATTCACTGACTCATACCAACTAACTTATCAACACTAAGAAAAAATTTGCCCGGAGATTAGATTTTTCTACGAGAAGAATCGTAGCATCGTCAATGACGAGAATCGGACGATTTTAAAATTAATTCGCTCACACCTGACATATCGCGTCCGCGACACGCGATAACGATAACGATAAGGACTAACCTGGAAAGCGGACTGGGCGAGTGCGGTGCGGAGGAGCCCTGGTCATGCTGATCCTGATGATGATGCGGGGTACCGGCGGTCGCATGATGCGTGTAGATCGAGTCCATGTACAGCTGATCGGAGACGCGCTCGGCCTCTTGCAGCCCGTGATTAGTCTGCACCGACGGTGGCTGCATGGCCGTGAGATGGGTAAAGGATTGCAATCTGCCCTGATCACTGGGGCTATAACCAGCTTCCTGGGCCTGCCGATGTGGTGACGATAGAGCCTGATCGTCGTGCGGACTGTGACTGGAGGTCGGGGAGCCACCGACGGTTCTCACCGACGGCGAGCCTCCGCCACCGCTGCCGTTACCGCTGCTGGTCGGCGGGGCGCTTCCGCGAATCTGATGCAGATATGGTTCGTCGGACAGCACGTCCTCTAGGTGGTGCGACGCGTGATGGTGATGGTTGCTGCCACTGTTGCTCGACGTGGCGTTCGACGTTGCGAGATTCGTGAAGAGTACTCCCAGATAATCGCCCCGTGCGCCCCTCATGGCCGCGGTGATGCTGCTCACACCTCGATCCACGTCCTCGTCGGTCTCTTGATGATGTTGGTGCTGCTGTGGATCTTGCAGATGACGGTGCGCGGATGATAGAGCGATGACAGCGTGCTGATGCACCTCGGACAGATGGTGATGTTGTTGATGCTGCTGATGGTGATGATGGTCCGTCGTCGTCGGCGAGAGCGTCTCGGTACCGTAACGATGCATCGTGGAGTGAGGCATGTGACTGCCGGCACGGCGTCCTTCCGATGCGACGGAAACCTCCGTCGGGTGCCGGTTATCCCCTCCCTCGGGAACCGGGACCTCTCTCGCCCCGAGCTGAACGTACTGCTGCTGCTGTTGACGGTGGTGGTGCGCGTCATGTTGCTGTTGGTGGTGCGTTTGGTGGGGCGGCTGCGAAACCTGTTGTTCCTCTCTTATGTCGCCGCCCCCGAAACTTTGGGGGTTAAAGAGAAATAGAAAGGACATTTCAATTAATGCATGATGAGAAACTCTCGCGATTAATAGACTGATTTGATTTGTCGATAAATTAAGACTGATCAAGATGATAATATTTCTTGTTTGGGTTTGATTTAAAAATACGGTTTGTGCGGAAAGCAAAATAATTTGGTCTATAGTCTATATGGTAAATATATAAATATTTATATTTTGATCATAAAACAGTGAGGACTTTTGTTCACATAATCTTGCAAAATCTTCTTCGAATATTCGATATCATTTTCTTGAAATCATAGTATCAACGTTATCCGGAAAAAAAGGAAAGAAAATTAAATACCAAACCAGAAAGTTCTTGTTGTTTTGCAAAGTACCAATATAACAGGGTGCGAATAACGACCATCAAATCCATCGTCCGGGATATTTGTCATAATATCTGATCAGGACATTCGCCCCGGCTCACTCACCTCTGGTGGATTATGTGCGCGGGATGATAGCCCAGCTCGTGGAGGGTGTAAGTGGCGTTGGGATCCTCGTCGACATGACCGTCGTTGGCGACGGCGGCGACGGCGGCGACCGCAATAGCGACCGCTTCGGCACCGGTTGGCTGTATCATGACGCCATTTTCCATTTCCGGCTGTCCCGCCTCCAGCACGCCCACACCGCTCTCCTCTCCGGTCTCCTCGTTCGCCACGTACGTCGCCAGCTGTTGTTGCTGTTGTTGCTGCTGCTCCTGCTCCTGCTCCTGCTGCCGCTCGACTTCGTTCTCGATGACGTCTTCGCTCTTTATCGCCATCGTCGCCTTCCCCTCCTCCTTGACGACTGCCTCCCTGGACTCCGGTTCTGCGGCCCCGACATACTCGATCAGCACTACGCGCAAACGGACTTGTTGACTATCTTGGTCGATACGTTATATGAATGTGTTTGTTCTTAGAAAGTAAAACCTTAGCTTAGACTACATATAATAGCCTAAAATCCGTATTTGCCCTAAAGAAAGCAAGCGACAATGGAGATAGCAGGTAAGAGTTTAATGACGTCTTTTATCTTGAATATAAAGAATAATATCAATAGAAAATTTATTTCTATTGTCGTTTGAATCCTTTCAAAAATATGAATTCTCGATATTTGTAAATTAGAATTCCCCTTTTCTTTACCTCTCCACCGTTTCCGATACGTTCTGAATGGAAAAAAAAAAAAAAAAAAAAAAAAAAAAAAAGAAAAGAATTTACGACATACATGTGAAAGTTTCGATAAAACTAAATTATGCTCATAAACGTAAAATCAACATTTTGCATTTAACCGACACAAATTCTTACATGTTATTTCAATTAAAAGATGTTTAATGATGAAGATGAGAAAGTGTTATATTACCATTTTGTATTATATCTCTTTGGTCATAAATTGTCTACTTTGTAAACAAGTGTATACGATCGACAGTAAGTTACGTGATCATATTACGAGATCCCGAAATGTAGATCCATATAGACGATTTCGCGTATACTATATACAAATATCATATCTCTATATACGATATAATAAAACATATAATTATAAACGAAATGTTTTAGAAAAACGCATTCAAACGCTTCATCCATCACGGGGCGCATCTTATCGAAGATCCGCGTCGCGCTATCAAATATTTCGGAATCCGCTTTAAAGAAAACATTAATCGTTTTTTTTTTTTCCATTCTTATCGCCTTTTTATTCTCAGTGTGTGGTAATTATGATTTTAAGTCTCTAATTTATTATCGCGACTTCTTTTTCTAAAAAAGATTCTAAGAATGATGTCAAGCATTGGAAAATTTTGAAAAGTTTTGGGAAATGATATCTTTTGTAAGAAAAAGTCTGTTTCAAACTGATTAGAGGGTTTGTTCCTAAAATTACGGTTTCAAATTGTGGGACACCATATTGTACATAAGTGTAATATTAATTAAATATTAAAATATTATGCATGATTTGTACTTTAATCGGGATAATAAAATATCCTGAACCCTGAGGAATTAATGAATAGATTAAGTTCTCATTCAAACCGCGTAATATCACCCTTGAAGACGGTATATCGACCGTTTAACATTGAACCGACCTTATTGACATTACCTAATCAAATTGGAAAGGTCAGGCTCGTTGGTTTATCTGGCCGTTGCCGCTCGACAAATTCTATTAAAAAACATATTTTTGCACAAGGTCCAAGTACAATTCGCTTCGACTTAATTAGTTCGGAATAATATAAATAAAATGTACGTATTAATACACAGGGTGATCTGGTAAATATTATCGCCAATAATATTCTGCCCGTTAAACATTATTCTTTAAATATTTTTTTAAAAATAACGAGCAGTCGTGAAAGTTTGAATTAATACGGCTATATTTGTATTAATATATACTCACTTTTAATAGGTCGTATTAATTTTCTAAAAACAATCAAAAATTTTAGATTACATTCGAATGGTCTTATTTCATTGAGCAGTAATGATTAAATGTATTTTCACATTTTAGTTAATAATAAAGATTTTATTTGATAAGAACGCCAAATATAAAATGAAAAGCTGAATATGACTACGATATATGTAAAATAATTGTGCACGAGTGTTATTCGAGTGCAAAACTTCGAGTAAAAGACTTTTAAAGAGATCGACGGAAAAAAATTAGCCGCCCCATATTATCTACGGCGAAGAGATGCAGAGCCGCGACCCCGATTAATCATTCGATAAAAAAAATATACTCGTCGGGCCGATGACAGCGAGAGAGAAGGACCTTTCCCCATTGTTGCAAGAGTAAAACGACCAAATGATCAGCATCGACAAGGAAAGGCGGCCGCGACCGGCTCCGATTCCGCAACGGTTTTATTACTTATGCGCGGATTTCATTTCATATATTTCTCGTGTTTTATATCTATATAAAAAATCCTAATAATTAAAATATATATATCTCGTCTCTCGCATGCTTCTCCATAAGCTCTACGATCCCGTAAAGATATCCTGTAAAAAGAGACCGGGTGCCGGGTCATCCTTTATATTAATATTTCACAAGGGGTCTCTCTGCTATCTTATCTTTAACTATTTCAAATACTATACTCTTTAAATACTTGCTCCGTTATATATATATATATGTATTGTACATGCACATGTACATATATACTCCCATCTCGCGTCTCCGTTTTCAACAAGCCGACATTTGTCGAAAATTCTGTCGATCGTTATATGATGCGTGCAATACAATGCGTTTGTGAATTATCGATAGCACAGGAGACACCGTTACGCGTTTATTATCCGAGATATATATACGCGACGAGAATCTCGACGATACCGTTCCTGAACGGTAGCCAAGAGAGCGAGTTGAACGAGCGGAAGAGGTTTTGTACATCGAGGCCAGAGGTTGTCCTTATCTTTCAGACCCCCACAAAAACAGTCTCTGTTATGCGCAATACGAACGAACGCGATGCATATATATATGCATATATATATTATATGTATTATATATGTCGATGCGGTTTACGACGAGATTTTCAGAGATTGAATGGCCTCTTTATCTCTACCTCCCGAATCCTCATCTTCCTCCTTCTCCCTCCCTCCTTTTTTCTCTCTCTACTGAAACTGGTAGTAGCTCACGATCGACTCTCTTAGATAGAGATAATATATTTAGATAAGATAAAAATCGACGATAACATGTGGGAATCTTCGGAATTACACGTACTCACACACTTTGTCTTGGAATCGAAGAAGAAAAAATTTTAAAAAAATGAGAACAATTTTCAGAGATATATATTTTGCAACCTCGTTAATATATTTCCTTTCTATCCACGTATTAGAATTTTACAGGAAAGATAAAATAAGGACACTTTTAGGAGTATCACACGAAGGAACAGGGAATGCATTGTGGGTAGGAGAGGAGGTGAGACAGGGCCGTTGGACTAGGTATGACGCTGGGCTGGGTGCGTTCTGCCTATTTCCGATAAGAAGAAGGCCAGGTGTTCTCGCGCGCAACGTCCACAGGAGCGATGCGTTTTCCGCTCCGCAATCCGAGTTGTTGCTCGCAAAAGCCGTAATTTATCATCAGCGACCGACTTTCGCAAAGCACAACGAATGATTCACGACGATCGAGTCATCATCCAAAAAAAAAACACGTATGAAAACAATGGGGAAAAACTAATATATCAGCACGTACAATCGCGGTCAATTAAAAAAATCATCCAAGATGATGTTGTATGGGGAAGAGGGACAGTCTATAAGCAGGGTGTGTCTCTCTCTTTTACTCAAATCTTGTAAAAAAATTCCTTGATCTTCCAAGAATTTTTGTTCAAAATTCCAGGTAGGGAGAATATTTTAAAGATTTTTTTGGTGTAATTTCCAAAAACAAGTTTTTTTATTGTATGCATTTTCTGATGCTTTTCACTGATACAAAGAAAAAACACAAAGCCATTTAAGTTTCAAGTGCTAGATTTACAAATGTATTGAAAAAAAAAACCTGAATAGCTCTTTCGTTAAGATAAAAATTTTTAACTTGTATAATATCTTCATTTTGTTATTAAAAATAAAAATACAAAATACAATAAAGATCAAAATGATTAAAGAGAGATTTTTTTTTTTATATTCCCCGAGTCAATAAAATTCCATGAGAATTCCAAGTTTTCCATATTTTTCCAGGGAGTAGACACCCTGATAATATATGATTTATCCGTATCTCGACATTTTATAGAACGTTATTTTCTTTTACCTCGTAAAGTTTACGAAAGAATATTTTTTTAAATTTTTTCTCGTTAACTACTCTCCTCCGTTTGCACAGTCGATCAAGACGAGCAGCCATCGAAACCGCTTACGCTGCTATAACTCGCCCATCAGAGTCAGTGTCGTCGCGGTGTCTGCCACTGAAATCTGCACCGACGGTTGTGTGGCCGCCGCTGCAGATTAGGCTACTATGGGACTCTTAAAAGACGATAGAAAGCCCGCAATCGCGTACTCCGTTCGCGCGTACTACGCACGCTTATGATAACTCTGCGCGCTGCCACAGTAGAAATAGAAGATAATACAATCGCACTGTATAATCGTACGTAGGCTCATTCATCCCGCGGCTCAAGATAGAGCTAATCTGCATAACGTCACGTTTTCTCATATCCTTAACGATCCCGCGTTTAATTTTTGGCGCTCGTCGAGTACCTACTTTATGTATGTAAATAAACGATTTGATAGAGAAATTGATTCACTAATTTTTTCATGGCAATTAATGAATTGTAATTTGATTGTAAAATTTATTGTACCAAGCATCGCAAAGGGCCAAGTTAAATTATTTTTATTATAGCCTTTAGAAATTTATTTATATTTATATTAAAAAATATCAAAAAGATTGTAATCGTCCCGTTTCTTTTTGATTTTTATAAAAGAGATTTTCATAGATTTGCGAATGTTTCCGAAAAGAAACCGAAAAAAATACGAAAGATGAAAAGAGTCCTTTATTCTTTTCACGAGGAATTCTTGAACATGAATTTGTGAGCTCGGCTTGTGAGACAGTCTGCATGCCCGTCATAAAATGTGCAAACATCCCCGTGTGTTCCTCAAAATGCGTGTTTAAATGCCTGACTCTCGAAGAAACCGACACGGTATATACACCAGTATGTATGTAAAACATCGCTGTTATATAAGGGAAATGGAAATTGTGATAACGTAAAAGAGCAAAAAATTTAACAAAATTTCTCGAAGTTATCGAATATTTTTTCGGAAGAAAAGAATATCGCAATTCGATTGTTATGTAAAATAAGATCTGCAATCTTGAATCTCTAAAATATATATTCTCTCTCTCTCTCGTTTATTATTATTAATTCTATAAATTTAATAAGAAAAAAATCGATATCCTCTCATATGGCGTTAAAACGACCG